TAAGCTTGGCGAATCAATGATAGCATTGTGCTGACTTTTGATCGTATATTTGGTGTCATGGAAAATTGATCATATAATATCAACGTTATATAAATGAAGACATATATATATATATATATCATATGTGGACATCCAGACGTTATTATGATGCAGACGTCATGTATTTTGCACTATTTCTCTTTGATTTCTTGCTTGTTTACAATGACATCTACACGATAATAACGTGCGGACATCCAAATAAGAGATTAACTGTATATATATATATATAATTGGTAAGAGGTGTGATCATTCCAATACATCAATTTGTTATTCTTGTGTCCATAAACAGTAAGATCTCGGGGTTATTTCACAGCTTCACCTAACGTACGTACCAATGAAGGGGGTTAGCAAAAGGGACCACCCTTTACCAATAAAGATAAGATATAAGAGCATGAGAATCATAGGAAATTTCAAACCTCTCTCTCTCTCTCTTCATTATAGTGCTACATTTACATGGAACCTATTACATATACAATAAACCATATAAGCATAGTAAAATCAACGGCGGAACCACATACAAGACTATAGTGGGTTAGGGACGGCGTTTGGCATAAGCAAAGTGAGCGATCATATAAAGCCCCACTTTGAAGGGAGCCCCACATTAAATATTAATTAACTTTAATATGTTGTTGTAGCTTTAATAACATTAATATTCACTTTTCATTTGTCTTTTAGTACAAAATAAAGAAAGTTGGGCCTCATAATAAATATTATTTTATTTATGTGAGTTTATTATATTGGTATCCATTGCTTTGACTTCTCCCATATTAATAAGATAATATTAATGTTGATTTTCCTATTTAATATTGATTTTCATGTTACACAATATAAGAGACCTCCAACATACAACTTTGTATGCAATTTTTTTTAAAGCCGCATGTATCTTTTTTTTTTTTCAAGCTTCAGCCTTCAACCGCTCAACTCTCTCCCTCTCAAATTCTCAGATTTTGGTTTTTTCCTATAGTTTGTATATTATTGTTTTTTTTGTTGGTTATTGATAATTAATAATTTGATGATCACAAGATTTTGATTATATATTTTGATTCTTTTTTATAATTTTTTATTGAATACTTTATTTTAGGAGGTCCTTTTGTTGTTTTGGCACAAAGTCCCTAAAATCTCAGAGCCGTCGGGGTTTTAGGAGGTCCTTTTGTTGTTTTGGCACAAGGTCCCTAAAATCTCAGAGCCGTCGGGATTATAGCTCAGCTAGTGTTTCCAGGATAACGCATTGCTATGGTGGTATGATTGGAATCCTTTGATTGCATTTTCATGTGATCAATTAATACAAAATTCATATTCCACCTAACTTCGTTTCCATGATTTATTGTTTTCATTTTTCCAATAATGCCCTCATGTTGAAATGGGCTGGTTTGTTGTGAATTTCCAGATTTTTAGGACTTCCTCCACGACTTATGGATGGAATTTTTACAAGGATTGCTAGGTGTAGTTTGTTGTTAAACCTAAATTAGGACATGCTTGTAATGACTAATAGCAATTACCTCACTAGCAATCATATTTGTTTTATGTTAAAGTTTATTGGAAATTGGTAATAAAAAACAAAATCATTAGAATTTAAGCTAGCCCACCCATCAAAAAATTCATGGTTCTGTCATTGAATAAAATATCTTACATTATATTTTATTTATGATGTGACCGTATATTTTATTTGTTTTATATTCGATTCTCCTCTTTCTAAATATCGTTTACATTAGGTTTTCCTTCCATTTGAAAAAGGAAACGTTTCATCAAAAAGTGTTGTTTTATTACTTAAAATGGGTACAACAACGCGTTTAATTAGTATAACATTATTATATATATCCAACATGTGACGACAAGTTTAATTAATATAACATTATTAAGAAAACTTACAATATTAATGACCTTTATCTCTATGACGCGACTATTCACCGGTAGATGTCAAACATACTGATGTGTATTGTTTGCCCTCATTTGGTCCCCACTGTTCCACTAAAGATTTCAAATCCAAACCCTAGCTATCCACCATTTCTATCTTCATATATATATATATATGCTTTGAACTTACCGGAGTATAAACCCTGATACATGTGTGTACTAACTCAACTCATGTGTACAAATTTGGAAATATGATAACGATGCGGATGTTATAAAATGAGTGAATTGTTTTGTTTATACGAAAGAAATATCCTACCAACAAAAACTATCAAAACATGCAGAAACGACCAATTGATGATATATTGGTATAGCCTTGTGAACTACAACATCTAACAAGACATAAAATAAAGTGAAGAAATCATGGAAGGAGACTTAGGGCAGGGCCAGTGTCTGCACCAAACTTGTACCATTAAAAAAAAATAAAGAAGAACAAAAAGAAAAAACGTCTAACATCTGGTTGATCTATATATGAAGTGAAGAGGTTCATGCATCCCATAATGATAGGAACCCATAATGAATATTATTGACATTGTTTTCATAGGCGATAATGATTGGAAATGCACGAAAGTGTTTCTAGGTAAGTCATTGACTGATGCTGCCAATTCTCCTATCCTAGAAGCAAACAAATCGCAAAAAGTTAGTCAAGTTCTTGCACATAATGGAAAATGCGAAAATACGAAAGAAATATCCTACCAACAAAAACTATCAAAACATGCAGAAACGACCAATTGATGATATATTGGTATAGCCTTGTGAACTACAACATCTAACAAGACATAAAATAAAGTGAAGAAATCATGGAAGGAGACTTAGGGCAGGGCCAGTGTCTGCACCAAACTTGTACCATTAAAAAAAAATAAAGAAGAACAAAAAGAAAAAACGTCTAACATCTGGTTGATCTATATATGAAGTGAAGAGGTTCATGCATCCCATAATGATAGGAACCCATAATGAATATTATTGACATTGTTTTCATAGGCGATCATGATTGGAAATGCACGAAAGTGTTTCTAGGTAAGTCATTGACTGATGCTGCCAATTCTCCTATCCCAGAAGCAAACAAATCGCAAAAAGTTAGTCAAGTTCTTGCACATAATGGAAAATGCGAAAAATGTTATACGGTTAATCACTTATATATGAGGGTGAATTCTAACCGTTAATTCATTATAAACCCTCACATCAAATATCAAAAATGCGAAAGTAACTGACTGTCAATGGAACACAAACTAAGTTCATCATTCTAGCATTGCCCATGATTTGGAGAGAATCTGTCTTACAAAATAGGAGGCGTATCCCCTTATGTTTACTACATTCATTACGTGATATTGTTTGATTGCAATCGGGTATATATCTCCTTACGTATACAACACTCATCACGTGGCACAAGAAAATATACCCAAAAACGACACAATATCATATATAATAAGTGATACACGCATTAAATAAAGACTTGCAAGCTATAGTAGAATCGATCAAGGCCAGCAGGGAGGCATTCAGTTATAATATTGGAGCAAATCAATGGCATAAATTCGGAAAATAGAAGAACACCCACGATAAGTACCTTTCTGGGTTGTGAAGTTGTGATCGATATTTGATATGACGATCTTGGTTGTCGTCTACATAAAGTGTATGTCAAATTATGTTACAAAGACTTATCATCATGGTATCATTAGATTTCTATTGCAATACCAAAGTTTTCAATTCGGGACCATAATTTTGTCGTTGAAATTTCAAACACTATACATTATTACATTAGTATTTCTTAATTTTCAAATTATTATTATTCACAAAATGAGCAAATTCACCTATATATTTCCACAGTTTTTATGATTAAGAAAAAAAAATGAAGCTATTTACATCTCGAGTTTATGAGTACTGCCGACAGACCCCACAAGAAAGGAATGGATCATCTTATTTTTGACTGTTCAAACCCTTGGGGTACTATATTGTAATTTGCTTACTAGAAGAAAACAATGTAATTTGTTGGCTCTTCTGAATTTTAAGTCAAGCTTAATTATTTCGACAACAACAACCTCATGCATGATTCGTAGGAAAGATTAACTACAAACAATTTTAAGGTTATGCCGTGTCACTTTAAAATTAACCACATATATAGCATTGGCTTTACTGGGAAACCTCTCTCTGCTATAATAATTTTGTTGATGAGTGCTTTCTTCTATTCAGACCCAATAGAAATACCAAACAATTTATTATTAGCGCCTTTTACCCCCTCATATAAAAATAAAACAATAAAAATTTAGCGTTCGTTTGATAATCTTTTCATTTGTAATATTCTAAATTTTATTTTCTTTGTCAGAAAAGAGAAAGGGTCAATTCCAATTTGGTATTCTGTGGTTTTAATCGTAATACATGTTTGTCCATGTCCTCTAAATTTTAACAATAAGGTAACCCAGTCTTTCCAATTTTTTGCAATGCGGTTCTACAGTTAGGGTCTCTATCAAATCTCTCGTAGTTGCCTACATATTACTTATGAGTCCTACATTTTCGATAGTTTCAAAGTCCTTCCAAGAGTATTTTCGATATATGAGGAAAATGATGGATGAAAGAGAGTGTGGTGGAAAGGAGAAGGTTACCCGACTCGTCTTCTGACCCTCCACGGTTACACCCCTCCCTCCCACCACCGCGCTGCCCGCCATGGTTGTGGTGGCAGCAGCCCCCTTCCACTCTCTTCATCTTCCATTTCCTAGTTATAATTAGATTGGACCCAACCCTCATAGCTTCAAGATGATCTTTAGATGAAGAAAGCCCAATTCATTGGCCCATTTGAGCATTTTGTACAGAAATAATGGTGAGGGCATTAAAGTGGAAGGAGGCCCATTGATCCAAGTTGATTGAGAGAACCAAGAAGCTTTTGACTGGAGATGAAACGTTCTCCTAAACACACTAACGCAATAATTGGCAACGCTCTTGTAACACCACACAATAAATTTTGAATTAAATTTTAGCGCTCAAAGCTCATGTGCTACAGTCTACGCATCTCCATTTGAAAATTGAATGAAAAAATCTCCATTGCTTCAAGAAAAAGAATCCAAATTTAGAAAGAAATATATATATAAAAGATATTAAATTCCACTCCAGAAAAGTCTTCTCTGTATCTAAAGTTCACAGCTTTTTTGTCTTCACTCTCACTCCTTCTTCCCCACTTCACACTCTCTGAGCTCAGAATTCGAGAAACAAGAACATGGGCTGTGTATCTTCCAATCTCTTCAACCACGATGACGAGTTCACCCAACTCGGTAGCTCGGCATTGAGTCACCACATCGTCTCCCTTACCTCCTCCACTTACGGCCTCCTCACTCTTGACCCACCGCCGGCGCAGACGCCCACAACTCCGCCCATTCCACCGTCTAGATTTACTCTCGGGTCCATTTTCCCGAGCCCGCTCTGCGAACCCAAGTCGCTCTGGTCAGACCCGAAACCGCTCCGCTCCGAACCCAGACCCCTCCGGTCCGACCCGGAGGTTATCAACTCATGGGAGCTCATGGCCGGCCTTGACGCCGATAGCTTCCGATTCTCGCCGCTCCCGCCGCCCAAAGCCTTCAACTTTAGAGACCCAAAGACTGCCGGTAAGGAAAACTCCAACCCCAATCGGGGAATTTTCAAGTCTCCGAACGACGGCGTTTTCGGCGTGAAGAACAAGGAGGACCCACTTGACCAGTTCGAGAAGATATGCCCGCCGGGCGGAGAAAACAAGGTGGTGGTCTATACGACGACGTTGCGAGGTGTTCGGAGGACTTTCGAGGCGTGCAACGCCGTTCGAGCGGCGATAGAAGGACTCGGGGTGATGATTGTCGAGCGCGACGTGTCGATGGATCGTGGGTTCAGAGAAGAGCTGAGGGATTTGATGGACGGGAAAGAGAAGGAGGCAGGGGTGCCTCCAAGGGTGTTTGTGAAGGGGAGATATGTGGGTGGGGCTGAGGAGGTGTTGAAGATTTTGGAGGAGGGGTTGTTGGGTGAGATTCTTGATGGGTGTCCAAAGAAAAAAGCCGGGTCTGTTTGTGAGGGGTGTGGGGAGGCCAAGTTCTTGCCCTGTTTTCAGTGCAATGGGAGTTCAAAGATGGTGTTGGTGGTGAAGGAAGAATTGGGTCAGAGGCAGGGGAGCACTGTGGTGGTCAGGTGCCCTGAGTGTAATGAGAATGGGTTGGTGCTTTGCCCAATTTGTAGCTGAATGGTTGACAGAGATGAGAGATCTGTTTCATATCAGATTGGGTTTTGTAAACACTTTCTGTCTACCATAGTAATTTCTTGTGTTTCTGATGGAAACCAAAAGCTTCTGTCTCTTGTTTTCTCTCTGTTTATAATTATGTATATGCATGTTTTGATATGTGAAGATCTTTTATTTGCTTGAAGCCTTGAACAATGCTGAGTTTAAAAGACAAACAATTACAGAGATTAGGGACTAGGCTTGTTCATTATAGAAATGTTGAGTTCCGTTATCTCAATTGTGCATTGCTGGTGCAGTGAAATTGGACATTGATGGAGTTCAAATTACAGGTCAAATTGCATTGCTAGTTCAGTTTTCTGTTTGATGTGCTTAGCTAATGTTGTTTGGGCAACAAAACTGTTGTACTCTAGTAATTCCAGAGAAGCTGTTGATATTTGACCAATTCCTAAGGAACCAATGTGTAAGAGTTGGCTTCCTACATCTTTTGAAATTCTTGGCCTGATGTGTTCTTGTTGATTGTTCAACTTCAATAGGGCAGCAGTTTATGCAAGTGACTGAGAAATCCTCTGAAATTCACTTTAACCTCCCTCATAAAAAACAATTAGCAGCAAATTTAGTACAACTAGTGAAAGATTTATTGTATTAGAAAGTTATGAGCAGGAGAAAACTATTAGTTATCATTCAATTGTTAGAGAATTGTTGCCCCCGGATAAAGTTCAACATATGGATGTGCTCTTGATTTGAGAAGTCTAAGTAGAATGGTAATTCTTCTTGCCATGTACAAATTACTGTTGAAGAATCAGCTGGTTCATCGGTCGAGAAAAGAATACTTCTGAGTATATGGAAGTACTGATATGGAGAGAAGGTACAGAAGCTCTAGTATGGTCATATATCAAAGACCAAGACAAACATAGGACACAGAATCTTCAAAGCACCTTTAAACACAAAGTGAATGCGGACCTTTCATTGCCTTTCTGTTTGTGTTCTTCACTACCTCTAGCAATTGTCCAAAGGTTCATTGATGCTCTCTTCCAAATGCTGCTAAGATGTTTAACTAGCAATCAAGCATGTCAAGTGGAAGACAGGGAGCAATCCTTAAGACCAGAGGAGACAACATAGGTTGTGTTGTTCTCCTCAAAAAATAGAATGAACATATCATTCTAAACATAATTTTTGTGAGTGCTCTAGTTTTTCTGTGCAACTTTGGTCCTGAAAAAGGCTGATGTTGAGTTAGCAAAGCCTTTTGATGTGCTGGTATTGTTCCATTATAGTTGCTGATATGTACTTCTCTGAAGCTTTTTCATTCTTTCCTGGTTTCTTTTTGAATTTTTACTGAGTGGATGCCAGTAAAGGATGGCCTTCTTTTCCTGGGTGAAGGACAATGATTGTGCAAGGGTAAAATATGTGTTCAATTGGGATTTGGGCTAAAAAAATTCAGCTCCTATTGTTTACTGAGCTAGCAGAAGTTGTAAGATTGCTTGGGGTTGTTACTGTTTCCAGTTCATATAGCTGGTCTTCATCTGCCTGTAAAAAACCAGTAATGAAGTGCATGAAGAAAAGTTCCACTTATTCATAATCTGCATAGAACTTAAGACAAATTGTACAAATTTCGACCCATGAACTCTATTAATACAGGACAAATTTATGGACCTACTAATCAGACACAAGTTCAGCCCATTGACCACAAAGTACAAAATTAAGTTTTAATTTGGGCCTGATGTCTCAAGACCAGGAAGAGATGTCTAGCCATTATCGAGGTGTAAATATGATGTAACACTGACACAAAATATACAAGTTGGTCCAATATTGAAGATTTGTTTGGTACTTGCTGTTGGTAGTCTTTAATTTCTTGGGTTAATGACCTAAATGCGTGAAATCGAGGGACAAAACCGTCTTTTTAGGTGAAACCCTATGAATATGAATATTTATTACCTCATCGTTCATTACTCAACCACCTCCAACAATTTCCAGTTGACCATTCTTCACTAAATTGGTGAATGATTCCCTTTTGAGGTCAGAGGAGTACCTCCACCATCTTTCCAGATAAGACATCTCCGGCCGAAACGGGTTTGCGGGAAGCGGACTTTCGGGGCTTGGGGAAACGGGTGGAGGATTTGGATTTGAAGTGGAAGGAGAGGGGACTAGGAACACCGTAACGGAGGATGACGACGAGGAAGAAGAAGATGGAGATCGAGAGGCCAATGGTGAGGAAGTTGGCGAAGATGAAGTCTCGGAGGGGCAATCGTCTGCAGGGGATGGGGATTGAGGGAGGAGGAAGAAGAAGAAAATGGGAGTTTTGTGTTAGCTTCTCAAAAAGTCGCATATACCCTTCAAAACTCAAGTCACGTGGCCATCGTGTGATCAGAAGTCACGGATTCTGTAACAGATGGACCATTTTGGTATATTATGAAGAGTTGAAGGACGTTTAAATTGAAAATTTTAGTTGGTGGACCAAAATGATACTGGGGCAATAGTTTGGGGACCATTTAGGTCATTAACCCTTAATTTCTTTCATTTAATCTCAGAAAACTGGAAGACATAACATAACAAGCTCATTTTTATGCAAAGAAAGGAAGAGATGAAGTGCACTGTGACTGTGTATATTTATTATTTATTAGGGTAGAATTAACTTTAAAAAGTCGACCAAAAGAGAATCAAATCAAACTTAGTTTGACTGATATTTACTGGGAAAATGAAGCCAACTCTGTTTGCTTTTACCCATGAATAGTTGTATGCATGCGATTTCTCTGCTGCCATATTTTAGTTGGTGGTCTTCAAGAGACATAAAAATGCAGCAAACAAACATACATACATTTGGCCACATTCACTGCAAAATCAAACACAAAATGCGCTCTCTCTCTCTCTCTCGTACTTTTGTTGTCCATATAACACGTGAAACCATTAGATTTTGGTCAGTGCAATTTAAAGCCATTGATCAATCAAAAAGCCCTGCTTGTTTTTGAAAGGACTTTGGATTCTTCTTCTACATTAAAATCTCTCCCTCTCACGTCCACTGTCTCAAACTTATTACTTGCATTGTTTTTGACAATACCTGACACCTCCTCCATTAGTTTTTTCGCATGCCACAAGAAAACACCATCGCTTATCACATATATTGGAGCTCTCTTTCATTAATTCTTGCATATAAACAAACAAACCTCAAGTTTCTTCTCTCTCTCTCTCTCTCACCATAACAAGCACACTACTAACTTCACTTTCTTCAGTTTCTACTTTTGCCTTCACCAGCTTAATTTCATGTAATGCTGCAAACTTTGCTCAAACACCTAAATGGGAAAGAAAAGTGGTACCTCATGGTTGACTATAGTCAAAAGGGCATTTAGGTCTCCAACTAAAGATAACGATCGGCAAAAGATCAGCAGAAGAAGAGATGAGCATGAACCAGAAGAGGAAGAAAAGGTAACCATGCATACCATCACGTGCTTTCATTTTCTCTACTGATTTGATTTGATCCCCTTTTTTGTCTGTTTAACTGCTGATTGTTTTGGTTTGTGCAAGCAGAAGAGAGAAAAGAGAAGATGGCTTTTCCGAAAGCCAACTATTCATGTTCAACAATGTGAAGCAAAGACAGTGACTCTAAATGCAACAACCACACCTGTGAATCCTGTTTTGGCTGCTGAGCAAAGGCGTGCAATTACTGTGGCCGCAGCCACTGCCGCTGCCTCCAGAGCAGCTGTTGCTACTGCCCAAGCGGCAGTAGAAATTGTTCGGCTTACTAGGCCGAACAATTTTGCTGAAGAACAGTATGCTGCCACGCTCATTCAAACAGCTTTCAGAGGTTATTTAGTAAGTAAACCACATACAATAGATAAAATTTGCTCACATGGGTTATGGTTGTTTCTTTGAACTCCTTCACATAATGCTAATTCGCATGTGGTTGCTTGACTGAAGGCAAGGAGAGCTCTACGCGCACTGAAGGGGCTGGTAAAACTTCAAGCTTTAGTGAGAGGTCATAATGTAAGGAAGCAAGCAAAGCTGACACTGAAATGCATGCAAGCTCTGCTTCGTGTACAAGATCAGGTTCGCAATGAAAGATCAAGGCTTTCACATGATGGGGGCAGAAAGTCCATGTTTGCCGAAACAGACTTTCCCTTATGGGAATCTAGATATCTTCATGACATTCGTGACAGAAAGTCAATGGTAAGCACCAGCTTTCTTCACTGTTTTAGTATAACAAAAACATGAACTGAATTTATTCCTCAAAGTAACTGGCTTTTGCTGCTTTTCATCAGTCAAGAGAGAAAAGTCGTAGTGGGGATGATTGGGATGAAGGGGTGGAAGCCATGTTGCAGAGTAGAAGGGAAGCTGCTTTAAAACGTGAAAAGGCTCTTGCTTATGCTTTCTCTCACCAGGTTCATCAATCTCCCTCAATTTTTTCTATGTATGGTTCTTAGGTACTTTTTGTGTTTGTTTAAGAACAACAAGCTAAAGTCTTTGATTTAATTATTGATGCCTAATTGAAGATATGGAAGCCTCGGAGGAACCCATCTGCAAGGGATGAAGCAGAGCTAGAAGAGAGAACAAAATGGCTTGACAGATGGATGGCCACGAAGCAATTTGAGCACAGCAGCAGGGCTTCAATTGACAGAAGGGACACCATAAAAACAGTTGAAATTGACACCAATTCTAGGCCTCACTCTTACTCTTACTCTGCCCCAAATGTTCGAATTTCGACATCACATTCACAACTTTCAAAACAGCCAGCCCCATATCCAATTGCTTCACCTTCACCCCTGCACAAATTACACTACATTAATCATCTCTCACCTGCCACACCCTCTCCTTCAAAACCCAAATATCTGAAAGTCCGATCAGCAAGCCCAAGATTCATGAAGGAGGAAAAGTATTGCTGCTCATCAGCAGCACACACACCAAACTTAGGCTCTAATTCTTATTGTTTCAGGGGTTCAATGTGTCGTTCTGCGATACCAAATTACATGGCTGCCACTGAATCTGCAAAGGCCAAGGCTCGATCTCTTAGTGCACCCAGAACAAGACCCTCGACACCCGAGAGAGAAAGAGGTGGTGGTTCAGCCAAGAAGAGACTTACATATCCAGTCCCAACTGAGGCACTGCAACATAACTCTGTTGGCATTGGTTGTAGTAGTTTCAGCCATAAATTGAGAAGTCCCAACTTCAAGAGTGTACAAAATAATGGCTACTATGGAAGGGAGAATTTGTCTTCATATACTGATAGCCTAGGGGGAGAGATTTCTCCTTGTTCAACCACTGATCTAAGGTGGTTGAAATGAGGCAAATTTTTATGAAAATGAACCTAGTTCTCATTTATTGTCTGATTAGGAATTGGAAAGGAAAATTTTATGAATGATTGGATGGTTTTTTTTTTTCTGTCTTTTTTCTTTTTCCTAATGGGCAGCATATGGAGAATATATATAACCCAAAAATGATATTATGATATAACATAAAGCGATATA